ACAAAACACAAGTTTTTATAAGCATTTCAATCTAAAATACACACTTTTGTATGTATTTCAACCCAAAATGTGAACTTTTATATGAAGTTTGGTAAGTTTTCTGGGCTTTTTCCTTTGGTCAAGAACAGTATTTCAAAATTCAGAGAAATGTGAAAACTGAAAGGATAACAGCATTGTGAGCCAAATGATAGTTTGTGCAAATTTGTTTGTTTAGCTTACAAACGCAGACCAATGTGATGTTGTAGTGTTTGAATTCGAATATGGACACTCAGGTTCAGTCTCTGCTCAGCCATCTTGAAATACCTCATAAGTTTTTAGGATAAAATAGGGTGGGGTACAGCATGCATAGTACTCTGTCCAACATGGAGGAGAAGGAGGGTTAAAATGTAATTTACAAGAATGTCCAACTGCTGCAGGGTGATAAAAGCTGACTTGGCCAAAGCTTTCCATTCTAAATAAATAATCACAATTACTGTAGCCAGAATTGTCACCTTTCTTAGTGACTCTGGGCCAATGGCTTTTTGAGCAACTGAATTTTAGCAGGTGAAACTTTTTCCTGGTATAGAGGTAAATTGTGGAGAATGCTTCACCTGCTCAATTCTGGTACATGAACAAGGCCCGTAAACATGTGGCAGTCTTATTTGCAGATACTTGGTGCTACTTTAAAAATAACTGATTTTTTAAAAGTACAATTTTTAAAAGTATCAAATGAATATTTGGTCTCCTAGCATTCCCCCTGCATCCTTAAGATTCATATAAAAATTACACTAAGAAATCAATTTGAGTACAAGACACTATTAACGAGGTCTTTGATAGACTAAGAGTTATAAATAACTATTGTAATCTGTCAGTTAATTTAAGTTTGCAGCTAATCTGCCTTCAACATAGCACTGTTGATTATTTCAGAATAATTTGTAAGCAATTAGGAATTTTAACAAGAAGCTTGCTCTCAGATATGCACAGCACTGAATGTGGACGATGGGATATGTCACTGTTATTATTTGTTCTGTGAATCATTGCCTAGGACTATTTCCATAGCCATTAAACCATTTATTGTTGTTTTAAACATGGTACACCAGGAATGCCTCTTAGGTTGCTTCCAGATGACCTGTTTATTAAGCATTCGTCCTGATTTGTTTGCACAAAGCTTGCATGGAGGTTATATAAATGCCCGCTCTTTATTGAGCATTTATTCTGATTTATTTGTGTAGAGGTTACATGGAAGCAAGAAGCAAACAACAGAAAGCGATGGAGAGAACTTGAAGAGACATATATGCAAAGATGGCTGTAAGATACTGTAAAGAAAGATAGGACTTCCTATGAATTTATCATTATCCCACACTTTCTAGTGCAATTTCATCATCATTTTGCTTAGTGCAAAAAGTGGGTTTGTTGTGCCAGGAGGCTTTAATCCACATTAATTGCACAAACTTACATTTACATGTATGTGATCAAATCCCTGCTACAGAATAGTTTGGAGAAATTAAGTCAGGAATGTGTCACTTGTGAATATTTTATTGCAGGACAGAAATGATAAGAGATTCATATTTTAGACAATATGTATTTTCCATTCACATTACAAGTGCAGAAAATGCAGAATCTGATGTGAGCAACTGTTGTTTGTTTGTTCTTTAAATCACCAAATACAAAACTCAAAAGGTGGCCAGTCCTCCTTCAATGTTGAGTATACTGAATTTTCAAATTGGTATCAGAATCAGGTTTAATATTTTCAAGTGCTTTGTTAAGATTCGTATAATTATCTTCAGTATTTATGCTGAATAGTAGTGATAACAGGAATACACAATTGTTAAGTCTACAACAAGTTGGAACTCATTCTTGGAAACAAGGCAAAGTTACAATTTCAGTTCTAGCTGTTTTGTGTGATGTATCTTTACATCTTTACAATAACTTTATAGATGTAGTAAATTGTCCGTTATGAAAGATTCTAGGTCTTATATTGAAACCTAGTCAAGATTATAGGTGATTTTGTAGTGACAGCAGAACATGGTATTCCCTACTCTTCCAATCCCAATGTATCCACATAAATTGATGACTGCAATACCCTGTAGCTACTCATACACAGAGGTATCAAATAGCTAAATTTATCAACTATCAAATGTACTCTTTTACCTGTTAGGTCTTTATGTCCAGTAGATGACTACCAATGCACCTAGGTGCAAATGCATTTTGAACGGCCAGCACCCAAAGAGCAATATAGGCCCTGAGGGGTTTCACAGTTCCGACAGTCTTCTGCAGCCACGAAACCCATACAATGGCCAGATGACCCCCTGGAGTTGCACTTAATGTGACATGAGAGGCTGCAGCCAGGACAGTTTGCCATCTCCCAAAGTGCAGCTCAGAGCGTTTTGTAATTGTGTTACCCTGGCCAATACAGTCATACCTTGGGTTTGAATGTGATCTGTGTGGGAGGCACGTTTGCAACCCGCAGTGCCGTGTCTGCACATGTGCATGACGCAATTTGGCACTTCTGCGCATGCGCAAAGCACCGAAACCTGGAAGTAACCCATTCCAGTACTTCCAGGTTCGGCGCAGTCCGTAACCCAAAAACGCGCAACCCACAGCGTTCGCAACCCGAGGTATGACTGTATATACAGGTTCACGATACTATTTGGCAGGCTAAACTTTGCAGATATTTGACCTGAAACATTTATAGTTTGGTACCACCATGCCCCACCCCAGTCTGGTGCATGCTTCCCCCATCACCTGCAGTACATGTATTTGGGCTAGGAGAATGATACATCCATTGTCTCCTCCTGTCTGGAACAGGTTTCAGGTCATATGAATGGTCAGTTGGGTGATAACAGCTCATGAATATATGTTTGTGTGATTCTAGACACTAGTGAGCCACATGTGTATGTGTGTCATGGGGAGGAGTTGCCCAACAAATCTATGTCTTCATTATTTCCATGAGCAAAATATGAAATAGCTTTTCAGGGTACCTATAAGAACATATCAATTCACAGTAGCTCCAAAAAGCTGAAATTCATTGCTTATTGAGATTTGCAACCAAAACATGCTGCTGCAAAGGATGGAAGTACTATATAAGAAGCTGTGCATTTGTGAAGGAAACACTGTCCTGACTTGAACAGGCAAAAAGAATAAAATGTTTATAATTGAAGTTGACATTTAAACTAACTGTTAAAAGCAGCTTATTTCCAAGTACAGAAGACAAAACCTATGATAAGTTCTACAGCCCATTAATTACATTCACAGTTCCATTATAGGCAGTCCTGTGGTGCATTTTACAACTTCCATACAGAGCACTAACAATGTTCCCCTTGGATGTGCAGAACATTGGGTTGATTTAGATATCAGGGTAAAGGCAACAGAGGGTTAGGGGGTCAGGAGACCAATTATTTGCTAACTACCATGTAATTTCAGTGATAATGGCAATGGTATGGATTCTCTTTCTAATGTTAACTATAATGTGGATGTGATATCCCTGGGATCATTTGAAGAATTTTTACATACAGATCAAAAAAAGAAAGCTCTCAGTTCCATTTGGAAACTACAATTTGAATGACAGTATCACTAGGCAGATAGTGGGAAATATTGTACTCTTACATCTCTATGGACCAAATTATCTAATGCCTGGCATTCTCTATAGTCTGGAAGTTGGTCCCCACCCAAATGAAAATGCCATTAAGATTTCAATTGGAGCAGAAACCCTTGGGATTGTGAATGTCTCTGCTGCCATGTTGGACCTGGTCCTCCTATGTTTCATGATACAGAGGCAAGGGAAAACTGCACTCTGGACTTTAAGAAGGCCAACTTCAAAAAGCTTAAAGAGCTACTGGGTGAGATCCCCATGGTCAGAAATACTCAAAGAGAAGTGAGTCCAAGATGGTTGGGAGTTTCTTAAAGGTGAAATATTGAAGGTCCAAATGCAGACAATTCCAACAAGAAAGAAAAGTGGGAGGCATCTAAAGAAACCAGTGTGGCTGCATAAGGTGCTTACAGATGAGCTGAGATTTAATAAGGGCATGTGTAAGAAATGGAAGAAAGGGGAAATCACAGAGGAGTATACATGAGTAGCCAACCATTGCAGGGTGAATGTCAGGCAGGCCAAAGCTGAGAATGAGCTCAGGCTCACAAGAAAGGTTAAAAATAATAATAAAAGGTTTCTTTGGCTATGTTTAAAGCAAGAGGAAGAACAAGCAAGTTGTAGGTCCTCTGCATGGAAAAGACAGAGAAATGCTATTGGGTGACAGAGAGAAGGCAAAACTGCTCAACACCTAATTTGCCTCTCTTTTCACCCCAAAGGAAAGCAGTGCTCAGCCTGGTGATAACAGAATCGACATAATTGTAAAGTTAAGTAATGTAAGTTCCGAACTACACCCACCCAATGTCACTGAAAGTCTCCTGTTCGACTCCAAAAGCATCAGAATATCAGCAAGCACACCCTCCCCATGGTATATTTTTGGGGAAGCAGGGCTAAGAATTAAAAGCTAAGCTTTACTTCATCTGTGTCTAAAGAGTAGACCCAGATTACTTTTGGCCTGCCCACATCTTTACCTAATGTCATATATGACACTACATTTAGGGCAGCTAAGTGTGGCTTGTTCAAAATGGAAAACACAGCAAGAGAGCATTGCAAAATGGTATTACAAAATAGGCCCCTCCCAGCTGTCAAACTTGGGCGGCAGGGGATGGGGAAGATAAGGAAATGACTCACCGGGTTGAATCCACTTCCCCATCTCTGTCTTAACTCCATCATTAGAGAAAACTTCCTTTTAGTTGGAGCACGTAAACCATGTTTATGCTGTATGGCAACAAAAGAAAACTCCCCTCTGCTTACCAGGTGCAATACAAATTATCGTATTTTTTGCTCTATAAGACACACTTTTCCCCTCCTAAAAAGTAAGGGGAAATGTGTGTGCATCTTATGGGGGAAATGCAGGCTGCGCAGCTATCCCATAAGCCAGAACAGCAAGAGGCATTGCTGCTTTCGCTGTGCAGCGATCCTTCTGGCTGTTCTGGCTTCTGGGATAGCAACGCAAAGCCTTTTCAGGGCAGCGGGAAGAATGCGCCCCCTGCCCTGAAGAGGCTTTGCGTTTGATCCCTCTTGCTGTTGGCTTCTGGGATTCAGAATATTTTTTTTCTTGTTTTCCTCCTCCAAAAACTACGTGCGTCTTATGGTCTGATGCATCTTATAGAGCGAAAAATACGGTAGTTAATTGAACCCATAGCACCCCTTCCCTTCCAGGTCTGCAATTCCGAAGTAATGTCTCAATTAATAGCAATTTATTTAAACATTCGTATTTGTCTTATTTTTAAGAACAATAGCAACAATTAACATTGCAGAGGAGGGGGCCAAGGTCAAGAGACGGATAGGGGAATTGTCTTTTGACTTGTACTACAGCAGTATGTTTAAAATATGGATCACTAGTTTTTCTAGGTCTGAAGGTGTTAGGATTCTAAATGGTCGCTATATATCTTCAGTGTCCTTGTTTTAATCCACACATGCATTTGCATGCAGAGTGGGGCCGTGAAACAGAATTGCCTCAACTTTCCCAGCTCGATTGCTTTGACTTACACTTCAGAAACAGGTCTATTAAGAAGCAAGTCTATTAAGGTCTACTTTCTTTGGAGCGGTTTAATTTTACTTTTTAACGAGATGGACACAGTACTGCTTCATTGGACTTCTCGTGTTTTACATAGAGATTTGTTTTGGTGGCACATGTATGTTGCTGCCTCTATTTTGTAAGCTGTGGAGATGAGAGAATGTACTGTCTTGAAGTTCTTTTAAAAGACTGTTGCTTCCCTCCCTCTTACCTGTTATGATCAAGCCTTTTAAGTTTCTCTTCATTTTTGTTTGTTTAAATAGGATTTATCACTAGCTATGCATTGTACATGGATGGCATTCTTGTACAGAATTCTTCCCAGCTCAGTTATTTTACTTCTGGACTTTCTCCTTGGAGTCTACATTCCTTCAGAGTTCAGGCATGTACTGCAAAAGGCTGTGCGCTAGGCCCACTGGTGAGTACCTCAATTTACATTCTGAGAATGTAATAAATGTCAGATGGCAGTGAATATCAGACTAAATGGTGATGATTCACACTGGTCAGTACTAACCCATCTGGCAAAATGTGACATTTTATAAAAAATGCCATTAAAAGCTGCAAAGGATTGGAATAGGTCACCACTAGGCACCGTTCCAAAATATCATATAGATACAGTAAAGACTGAGACAGGGAGTGTGGAAAGGGGGGTGAAAAGTAGGGTGAAACACATATTATTAAAATTAAGGGAAGTTAATATGTTTAAGAGGTGCAAATGTGGTTTAATCTGACTTATAAGGATGCAATTAAAAGAAGAATTGCTATTCTAGTAATGAATAAAAAATTCTAGCCTCTGCCTCAACATAAAAGTTTGAAGATAATATAAAGTTTGTAGAAGACCAAACCACATTAAACACCATATTATCAACATCAATGCCTAATATGGTATATTGTTCTGAAAAAGGTATGGATGTAGGATTAAAGGGTATGCATTTCTGAATGTGATGCAGCAGCAAGTAACATACTGAGAATTTTAGAAATGTAGAACTCTTAGTACTGAAATAATAAATTGGAGGTTTAAATGACATCTACTTTATTCTCTAATATTGACAGCTCTTTGGTTCTGTAACCACTTTGTGCTCCCCTAATAAGTATTTTTAATTATATAAATCTAAAAATAAAAGCACCAGAAGTTATTTAATAATATCAGTGTTTTCTAGCATAAGAAGTAATCACATTCTTTGGTGATCTTGCTTCTGACTCTGATAAGAACATTCCAGAATGACACGGTGTTGTGTCAAAAACAACATAGCTTCTGTCTTTATGAGGTTTAATCTTGTTAAAATTGAACTTGCACTTTGCAGTAAAATCTGGGAAGAAAAGCTCCCCTCCCCAGCCAAGCTTTTATTCAAGAATAAAACCCCACTGAAATACATACTCTAGCATTTCTGGCAAAGTTTTCCTTAACAGGCTCTCACTTTGTAATATTAGCTTCACCGTACGAAGATTACCTTTTTTTTAAAAAAAAAAGGACACCAGGACTGAATTTTTTATTTTGATTTTTGATCACATTTCCCTTTTTCTTCCCAAGATTCATTGCTTTAAAATGCTAGTAACATCATCCATCTGTAGAGCAGGATTGTAGACTTTATTACCATTAAACATTTTATAGCTTGGACGGGGTTGATGGATATTTACTCTTAAAAGCATGAGTGGCTTTTTGCCAATTTTTCTACTCAATTTTTTTTTTAAAAAATAATCCTGGAAATTTAGGGAACAGTGCACCAAACACTCGTGCAGCTGCTGCTGTTCAAACTCCATTCATTTCTGTAGGATTTGTGTGGGGCTCCCACACAACCTCTATTCAAATGCACAAAGGTTGCGCAGCAACAGTAGTGCTGCTTGAACCTTTCCCTTAAACTTTTTTTTGTTTTGTTTAAGGGGTCCCGGTTCCAGTGAGTTGGCCTTAATACTGAATCACTTCTCCCTAATTTAATGCACAGATAGTAATACTAAGCATTTCAGATGGTAGCATTGCACTTGCTGCTCACAGTATATTTTACTTGTACAGAATTGCAATAGTCTCAAAATATTCCGCCGTGTTCTGAAAGAAACTAGTAAGCAACTGCACTTCATTAAAGCTGAAACTCAGCCCTGACTTTCAGTGCAATTCAAAGTAGGGGTTTAGAGTCGACCTAATACTTATCTGTATCGCCTGCTCAGAATGCAAACTATTTTCCTGAGCCAGTGATCCATCTCCAATCACAAGAATTGAAATGCAATGTCTTTATTTAGAGAGCAACTCACCTAAATGCTGCCAGGAAGTTAAAGCAACACATCTTCATTTGATTTTCTGAAAGATTCCCCCCCCCATTACCATTTATATCCAACACTTGGTTTAGAAATATATATTTAGCTCATTGAGAACTTTAAATAGAAGCAGGGACATCTCCCTGTGGTAAACTGATATTATCCTTCCAGCTATTTTTGTTGCTGATCTTTTATTTAATGTGCCCTAATCGATTGAAGAGATGCTTTGCAACGCAAGCACCTCAAAGAAGCAGATTTTTGAAGGTAGCAGATTTTAATGAGTTTTTTATGTATTGCTGTTGCATAATACGTTGGCTTAATGGTTTTTCAGAGAAGCTGTGTATGATTTCAAATTTAATGAAAATCTGGGAAATGGATAAATCAGAAATAATTAACTTACCCTTAATATATAAAATAGTTATCCATTTGGAATCTCTACCGATTTCACTGTGTTGTTTATGAAAGTACATAGCTGTTTACAACTTTGATTCATCTGGGAATCATAAAAACGCATCTGATAAACAGGGTACATATCTCAAAACTACAAGTATTTAGTTTAAGAAAATGATAGATAATATATACTATACAATTGCCATATGATTTTGAAACATCATCTTTATTTTGTCATATGTTCTCTTATTTGGAAAAATATTAAGCACAATTTAAATGTTCTTACTTGATTGTTGGTTGTGCTTATTTTAAAAATTTTACTTAATTGAAAAATTATCAGTATATAAGGCATTGAATGAAAGCCAGACAAGTTGTTTGTCCACTCAATTTTTATGTTTAATGTCTTCCCTGCATAGTAAACAATATGCAATTTAAGATACAGTACTGAAAAAGCATAACTATAAGTACAATGCATCAAGTGCAGAATGGCATATAGGCATTTAATCCAAATTGTCTAAAAGTACACAGGGTAAATTGTGACTTTACTGAAAATTATGAGGACTTCAGTGCCTTATATTATGTGAGGCACAAAATATGAATATGATGAAGCAGGTGCACAATAGAAAATAATGAGGTAAACTTGAGCTCGGTTTATATTACTAAGCACACTCCGACTCTGAGAAGCTTTTTGTTCTAATGGTAAAATAATAAAACAATAATTATGGAGACACAGATAATTGAAAATTAATGTCACACATCTATCACATATGGCAGCCTTTGCTACATTTTGAAAGGTAGCACTAATGAAATGGGTATACAGCAGAGTTTCAGTACAATTCCACAGGAGTGTATGGCTTCAGGATGACCGTCTACGTGTGGAGTCGTGTTTCATTCGAACGTTCAGCATCTTTGAGCAGTTTAGCAATATTCAACCCCACCACCCTGTCCTGCGGTATAGGCATATATAAACTTCTGCTGTTTTAATGCAGCCATTAACCTGTGTTCTAGGATCAGGGTTTGCCAACATTTTGGGGTTGGTGAGTGCATTTGGAATTTTACGAATTTTGCATTAGGAATTTTGTTATTTTTTTTGTGGGGTTACAAAAAAGGTCTGACACATCTAAAAGAAAAGAGAGAGAGAGAACTATGAAATGAAATGATACAGGCGTGAACCTCCCTCAGCCGCCCCACCCAACCAATAGGAAACAGGCACACCTACAGCAGCCACCACTTATAGATGGAAGCTCTTTGCCCCACTCCTCTATTTAGAGCAGAATAAAGAGTGGTGCCCAGTCCTGGCTTCCAATAAAATGTGGGAATGTTTAAGAGGCTTTGTGGATAGACCAATGGATAGACCAAGCCAGTGCAAACCAAAACTGAGCAGGAAGAACATACCGTCTCTCATGCATTGTTTGTGTTTGAGGCGATATTTATGGAGACCTTTCATTGGCACCATAGGAGATACTGACAATCACACGCAGGCAGCACATTGGTGATCCCTATTGTAGGTACATGAAAGCTGAAAATAGCCATTGTAGGATATAGGGTCATAGGTAGCTATGTAGAGCAGGCTTCGTCAACCTTGGCCCTCCAAATATTTTTGGCCTACAATTCCCATGATCCCTAACTAGCAGGACCAGTGGTCAGGGGTGATGGGAATTGTAGTTCCAAAACATCTGGATGGCTGAGGTTGACTAACCCTGATATAGAGGATCAGATGCTGCCAGGAGTGGGGGCAAGAGGGGAGGGGTGGCATGTACCTGGCCTTTTGTCAACCACATTGCTGAATTTAGTGGGAGGGCAATGGAGGCCAAAGGGGTGGGGGCAAGGTCAGCTTGATGGAGGTGCAGCAGGAGGAGTGCAAGATTGGCTCCATCACTGTGCTCACACCTTCCTGACCTTCCTGCCACCTCATCCCTCTCCATCCCAGTCAATGCAGCAGTGAAGCTGTTGAGAGGCCAGAAGCACACCACTGTCCCTCCCTGGAAGCTGCTGCTGCTGCTGGACAAAACTGTAAGTATGGAACTGGAATGTGGTCTTGGGGCCTGAAGCAAAATATAGACAGGTAGAAATAAAAATTGGGAACAGGAAGAAAGACAAGGAGGACTTGAACTAGGAACAGAAGACATTAGGCAGAAGTTATGTGGGAATGGTAAAGATTCAGGTGGCAGGGAAAGAAAGTGGAGCAGCCTGTCCACTGCTCCCTGAGCTGCTCTTTGGGGCCGGGGGGGCGGAAATCCGGGGTTCCCCCGCAAGCCCCGACAAGCTCCTGAGCAGCTCTGGGGTAGCCTGCAAAGCTTCCGCAGGGCAGCAGGCAGCCTTCATCCCGCTGCCCTGCGGAGGCTTCGCGCGGCTATCCCTTTAAGGAGCTGCGTGGAGCGTGTGTGCGGCTCTTGGGGGCTTCTCCCTCTTTGGGGAAAAGCCTGCAAGCGCCACACACACACTCCACGCGGCTCGTGAAAGGGAGCGCTGAGCAGAGCTTGGGATGCATATAGGCTCTGCTCAGCGCTCCCTTTAAATAATATTTTTTTTCTTGAAGTCCCCCTTTAACAACTAGGTGCGTCTTATGGTCAGGTGTGCCTTATGGAGCGAAAGATATGGTAGTTCCTAAACCACATACTCAGGAAGCAAACAACCCAGGAAGTGTGATCACAAGAAACATGAAGCAACTATTTCTGTTGTGTTTACCTTTTGAAGGATGAGAGGATGGCCACAGGTTTGGCAACTTTTTACCTGTGGCTACAAGAAAGCGTGGCAGGGAGATGAGCTCCTTTGGGGTACAGACAAGAGCTCTCCTAAGGTGCAAAGATCGATGGATAGAGAACAGAAAGGGCACACAGTGTCCTAGAAACTGCTTGCTAAAATGGTGTTACAATACCTGCTCGTAGTTGTTTGGCAGGTGGGTTTGATAGCATTGACAGAAGACATTCATTCACAGCAGCAAAAAGGCAACACATCACAGGGCATGTGTCTCCATCACCACAAGCCTTAAGACCTTTTCATAGATGCTAGGAGCACTGGGGCTACAGGACAAGTTTTAGGTTGAACAGCTTATGTTTTACATATAGGCAATCTTGGATTTTATCCCAGGGCACAAGCCAATCACTAGGGAAAGGGGGAGGCCCCCTCCCATAGGCACATCTGAGCCAATAATGAAAGGTACTGCATGAACCAATAGTCTTGCTAGCACTGGCAATGGTTGACATGGATTGCCTAGTCTTTGCCAATGGAGAGCTCATAGGCAAGGAAGGTGAGGAAGTTCCAGTTTATAGGATTTCCATGCCAATAAGCCACAAATGCACAAAAGTCTGTCGTAATCAATCAAATCTGTGATAATTCCTATAGATAGGCACTTACAAACACTCAGCAATGTAGAAATTATAATTAGGAAAGCTCACAAATCTTCCGCTATTGAAGTTCTGTGTAATAGTTCTTTCTTTCTTTCTTTTTAAAACAAATTTCTATTGGAGCAGAACAGATAATACCTGAACCTAGGTTTTTTTTTGCAGAGTTCTATTTCTGGAAAGTGTGATTTATGTGAAAATTGTTCTGTTTGGTTTTGTATTTTTAAATGTTTTATTTATTGTTTAAGGCTACTTTTGTTATGTTGTAGTTACCTATATTGTGAGCCACCCTGAGCACAATTTAAACTGCAGAAAGGCAGCATACAAATAAAATTATGTATGTATGTACTGTATTTTTCGCTCTATAACACGCACCAGACCATAACACGCACATAGTTTTTAGAGGAGGAAAACAAGAAAAAAAATTTCTAAACGAAATAGGGGATATATGATTTTTGTGGTTCATGCTGTGGCCACAGACATGTGATCTGACAGTGAGTTTGGAGTAGCCCAATGCAAAAATCCTGAGGATCCATGTGGATCCATGCTTTGTAACCACGGAGGAGGGAAGGAAGGGGAACCATGGATCCTCTGCTCACGACTGCAGCAGATCCCCACCACCCGCAGGCATTCGCTCCATAACACGCACAGACATTTCCCCTTACTTTCTAGGAGGAAAAAAGTGAGTGTTCTGGTGCAAAAAATACGGTATGTATGTAATGGGATAATAACAGGGAAGAACTGGGGGAAATTACCTATCCTTCCTTATATTAATCTTCAGATGAAGGGCAGTACTGTATAGATAAAATAAAATTAAAAAACTATAATGCATGATAAATGCATATCTTGCTTTCTATCTGTAAACTTAAAAATATTTATATTAGAAATATTTATATATTCATTTAAAATATCTGAGCAGTTTAAAACAATTTTTAATGTAAAACTGTACAATAAAAACCATATAAAATTTTAAAAATCAGAACTCATTACTAAAATAAGATATTCAGGGACTTAAGAATGATGGGTACTCATTTCACAGAATCCAAGGGGAAGGGCTGTAGCTCTATGGTAGAGCATCTGCATAGCGTGCAAAGGTCTAGGTTCAATCACTAGCATCTCTAGGTAGGACTAGGAATATCCCCTGTTTGGGACTCTGGACAGCCACTACCAGTCAGCGTAGACATTGCTGAGGTAGACAGACATACAGGTCTGACGTTGTATAAGACAACTTCCTGTGTTTCAGTGATGACAGTTGTTGTTACACATGCTCTCTGTGCTGACCCATGGCACTGGAAACAGGAATGGAGGCAGTCTGGAAATCTTTTATTGTCATGTACTAGGTGAACAAAATGTTCCTTCTTCTCATGTTTCCCTTTTTTCTGTAACAAACAAGTTTTTTTCTTTAACAAACATTGTTAAATTTGCAGGTAGAGGCTCGTACAAGTGAAGATGCACCTGAAGGAACAATTGAATTATTTGTCTTTAATGATGGACCCAGAGCAGTTCAAGTGAAATGGCTTCCTCCTCGTGAGCCAAATGGGCAGATAAGCTACACTGTTCTTTTCACTGGCTTCTTCTATACTGATGAAGGTATTTTCATTTTGGCACTTCAGTGGAAATGTTCTAGTGTTGTTTTGCTATACATTTGGTGTCTCAGGGGTTGTTGGGTTTTTTTGCAAAATAATTTTATTAACGAAGACATTTGGAAGTGCTGCTACTGAAGTGAAATCTGGATCACCAATGCAGCCCTAGCTGTTTTAAAGACAGAATAAAAATGTTGGTTCATCATGATGGAGGGTCACTTATAGATTTTCTCTGTAATTTGTAGTTTGGCCTTCAGCAAAGATACTTAAATTTTTGCTGAAGTGAGCTGTACTAGCATCATAGGCACTGGATCCTAGGGTCTGAAACGTCCCCCCCCCATGTTTTATTTGAGGGGGCCAAGCCCCCTCACTGTTCAGAGGGTGTTTGGCTTCACCCCATGGCTCTTCGCAACATCATACATGCAATGTCAGAAGGTTGTATCGGGTCCCCGCAATCATCTTGAGAAGCTGGGACCTCTGACTAGCACTATTCATGCACCATCAAATGTGCACCTCAATGTTCAAAACCTTGAAACCAAAAAAGTATTTGCTGGCGAATGTAAATGTGCCACCAGATCTAATGCACACCCTAATTTTCACGACGTGATTTAGCCAAAAAAGGTGCGCATTACTTTCAAGTAAATATGATCTAATCTATGGCAGAAGAAGACTCATATCAGCCAACAGTGATGGGAATCACCTTCTTGGAAAAATATCTAACACTCGTAGCTAATTTCTGGTCAACATACAGATTTTATTTCCTGATTTTCTAGTTGCACCAGATACACACAGGGAAGTGGGGAAAATTAGAATCAGTTCATATTTAAAGGCAGATATACTGAATTCTTAGTTTCTAAAACAAGATGTGAACTGAAACCACCATTCTTTGAAATTCACGCTTCTTCAAATTTTGCAGTGCAGTTCTTCAGCCAAGTAACATTCACAAAAATGCATAAAGTGTTCCTTAAAATTGCATATATTAGTGAAAATAACATACAAAAATGCATTCTGCCATGGAAAGCTGGTTTGCAAATATGTGTACAATAAGCAAAATTGCCTACAACAATGTGTATATTCAAAGAATTTCTTAGTAAAATGCTGGTGAAAGTTCATGTGGACTTTAAAAACACACAAACTGTTGTGGATGTGTGATGAACTGGATTCAGTATTGGAAAAACAAGAAACTGAAATTGACATATTCACCCATACCTAGCTGTGCTCAACAAGCCACAGAATATCAGAACTATTGTCTGTCACCCTGTCCAGTGGAAGAAGTCCCAACTGTCCAATTGTTGGTCATATTTCTTGCCAGTTTTGCTTCAGTCTTCACTCTCATCCTCTTTTGACCCTCCCCAGTTTCCTTGAGAGCCAGTGTGGTGTAGTGGTTAAGAGCGGTAGTCTCGTAATCTGGGGAACCGGGTTCGCGTCTCCGCTCCTCCACATGCAGCTGCTGGGTGACCTTGGGCCAGTCACAATTCTCTGAAGTCTCTCAGCCCCACTCACCTCACAGAGTGTTTGTTGTGGGGGAGGAAGGGAAGAGGAGAATGTTAGCCGCTTTGAGACTCCTTAAAGGGAGTGAAAGGCGGGATATCAAATCCAAACTCTTCTTCTTCTTCTTCTTCTTCTTCTTCTTCTTCTTCTTCTTCTTCTTACCTGGAACTTCAATTATCAAATGTATATGCTCATGCCTACTGCTGCGAAGTCTATTGCCTGGACCAAATACCCAGTAATTTCTATCTAGTCCAGTGAATGCCCAATACTTGATATTTCTGCATAAGAAAAGATGTGTTTAGGATAGCTCTTACTCTCTCCTGGAGTAGTACATTGAGGTAGGATGCTATAACTGAAAGTTACCCCACAAAGTGCTGTTGCAGACAAATGCAGAAGCACAAACATTTTGGACCAAGTGCTTCAGTCATACTAATTTGGCTGAAACCTAAGTCTGGGTGGTGAATCTCCTTTGAAGGATTCACCTTCACCCTGTAACACATGAAAACACTTTGCTAAAGTCACATAGGTTGCCAGAAACTCATCCTTTTCAAGTCATTGTGAATTCCAACGTCTGCCAAACCACTTTGAGTCATAATTTGGAAAACAGTTTCTCTTCTGGCAGATTGCTTCATTAAGGAGCTTGTCTTGGTTTGCCTTCCTTGGTTTGCCTTCCTTGTGTTTAAGACAGGGCGCAGTGGTTGACCTTTTACAGCTATCTTGCACATATGTAAATTACTACACAAGCGGCTGCAAAGTGTAAGAGCCCAGCCCATTTTAAACTGCTTCATTCAAAATGTACTTCCAATGGTATTTGATGCTCCAACCCATGAAGAAAAATCAGAGGAAGTTGCAGGTGACAGTGAAGAGCGCCAGAAACATATATTTTCTTGTTTCGTGATAACATAGTGTGCAAATTATATTAATAATGATTGTTTTATAGCAAAACGTTGCCAGCAATTTTATGTAAAGTTCAGTCAGAAAGACCCTGTAAGAAAGTTTTTGGATTTTAAGTATTTGCCTCCTGTCCCCGGTACAGTGGTACCTCGGGTTACAGACGCTTCAGGTTACATACGCTTTAGGTTACAGACTCCGCTAACCCAGAAATAGTACCTCGGGTTAAGAACTTTGCTTCAGGATGAGAACAGAAATCATGTGGCGGTGGCACGGCAGCAGCGGGAGGCCCTATTCACTAAAGTGGTGCTTCAGGTTAAGAACAGTTTCAGGTTAAGAACGGACCTCCGGAACGAATTAAGTACTTAACCTGAGGTACCACTGTATACATATAGGATATACTGATACATTCCATATCATAAATATAAGTGGTGAGTTGGCTGCATTGCTCATGCATTGTTCAAACAAATATTGCCATCACTGCTCTTACAGAAGTCATGTGTTAGTTTACACACTGGTGTGGTTTGAATTGCTTATCTACTGAAGGGTTCGATGTGTGGCAGGGTGTCTCAGCTGACCCCCGTACAAAAGCATGGTCTCTCTCTCTCTCTTATATATAAAGTGAAGGCTTTGATGTTTTCTGCTGCGAAACACTTGTAAAATTATGAGGTGAAGGAGTTATGATCGATTTGGAAAAAAAGAAGCAACATTTTGGTTGAGCCCCATGACAGCCCGGCCATTTCCTCCGAGGCAGTAGGGTGAATAATGCAAAAGCCATATTCCCCCTTGTGTTTAATCTTGCATTGTTTTTCACAGAGAAAAAATTCTACTTGCCTTCTAAGTCATGTCATCCCTGGTTGTCATCCCGTCTCTCAAACCATCAAAACTGTATTAAATGTTGCAAAGCTGCGCGGCAAGAGAACTTTCAAAAGTCAGAACCCATTTGCAGAGCAGCCCTTGTAGAAAATGTATTCTGTTCTCGGCAGAATTTTCCTTCAGTTCTTTCCACTGAGAAGTTTACTGATTTCTCCCAGTGGAATCTGCTGGAATTTATCGGTTCATGGTTGGCAGTCACAGATTAAGGTAAATGTCGATCCGTAATGACCCTCTACATGTTAGTATTGCAGTAAAGCTGGGCTTTTATGTCAAAGATATCGGAGAGGGAGCTATTACACATGACAGGGGTGATCAAGGGACTCCAGACCAAGGCAAGCATTATTAAATATTGACTAGTTCTGTGATTTATGTAGAGCTGGAGGAAAAAAGTGACTTTTTAACCATTATATATTCTTCAGCAACGAAAACCAGCCATTTATCTCCTGCTGGTAATAAAGAACAGAGTGCCTGCATATTTTAGTGGAGGGGGGAAACCTGGCCTTATAAATGAGATGGACTCTTTCATGATAACATTTCAGTTTGTTAATTGCCAAAAGGAAAACAGGCAAATTGGAAGCAATTACAAGTTTTGACTTAAAGAGGTTTCTCTGTTGCTTCATGTCTTTGGGGAGAAGAGGAAAAAAATGTCTGGGGAATGGAACCCGGGAAATTTTCATTTAATTTGTTCACTGTTACTGAAACTTTGCTTTGCAATGCTAAATGAATAAAGATAATTTAAATATTGTTTCCCTCACATGCTCTAAGCAGCTATTCTGAGTGACATTTATGCAGGGTGTTTTTTGGGTGTGGGTGGGTGTATATGGTATTTCTGTGCAAGAAAGAAATTAAAAATTAATTCATCAAACTTATTTAAAACATCATCTGCTCTGTAGATTTACACAGAGCTTATTGAATTGTCTGGTGGTTAATTGGATATTTCCTTGACATAATGAACAACTGCATTTCATCCTTAACTGCACTGTCTGTTAAAAGGACAGAAATAAAAATGCAAAAGTTAGGGATGGAACTTGGTTGAAATGAAGATATATTAGCATCAAAACAATTGCATCTCCAGTGTCAGTCAGCACACAGTGAAATTCTAAGTGGCTAGTTTGGAAAACAGAATGAAGAGACAAGCTTCAGATCTTGGACAGAGAACAATATCACGTAGCTTCATTTTTATGTGTACACTCTCAAGATGCATAAGTAACATTGACACAATTTGGAATGCTTGAGATGTCTCGATCCCACATGCAGGGAAGCATGTTTCTTTTTTTAAG